AAAAAAGCAAACCCTCAATGGTACAAAATTTAAAAGATTGGAAAAGTTTTTTCCCAAAGGAAACCCTTTGGGGGGGCCGGGTTTTTTAGGGACTTCACCGGGGTGGGCCTTTTTTTTTTTTGTCCAGGAGAAAAAAAAAGGGGGGGAAAAGACTTGGTCGTTTTTGGATGGGGGGGAAAGTGGCCCCCCCCCCGACCCCGGTGTTGCCCATGGGGGTGGGTTTTCGGTCGCTTGGCAACGGCGTTGAAAAAAAACCCCCCCCCCCCCCCTCCGATGTTTGCCGCCGGGGTTGGGTTTTCGTCGCTTACCAACAACGTTGTAAAACAAGCCGCCGCCCCCGGTTTTTTGCCATCGGAGTTGGGTTTTTGTCGCTTGGCAGCGATGTCGTAAAACAAGCCGATCACTTCGTGAGCTCGGCAACCAGGTTACCGGGGTTTTTTGCCTTAAGTTTTTTTTTTTGCGGTAACCATGAATGGTGGTCGAGTAGATTATGTTGTGCGGGGTCGAGAACCCTCATTCCGCGCAGAGGGGATAATCACAGGTTGTGTTAAATTGGTCAAGCACCCTCGAGGCAGTTACACAGCGCTTACAACTGTCTCTGGAAGTGAAAGCCCCAGAAAATAAATTAAGTCATACGCAGCTGTCATCTGTACGCAAGGAAGCACAAGATGCCGAACACCCTTGCAGGATGCAGCGCACCCTTCATGCGACTCGCCGAATACCTCACGATGTTTCGCGCTTGGTGATGTGAGAGCCTGGTCCGGTGAGAAGCCGGCGTGCTCCGTCCCGGCTTTGTAGGGATGCGAGGTCAATGGTCTAACGACTACGGCATGCACGACTACGAGTACACCCCCCCCCCCCCGTCGGGGGTTTGCCATCGAGGGTTAGGTTTTCGTCGCTTGGCAACGACGTTGCCAAACATACCGATCACTTCGTGAGCCCGGCAACCAGGTTAACGGGGGGGTTTTTCTGCCTCTGTTTTTTTTTTTTTTGCGGTAACCATAGTGGTGGTCGAGTAGGTTATGGTGTGGGGGGTCGAGAACCCTCACTCCGCGCTAACGGCGTGATCGCACCACGTTGTGTTAAATTGGGTAAGGTACCCTCGAGGCAGTTACCACAGTGCTTACAACTGTCTCTGGAAGTGAAAGCACCAGAAAAAAAATTTAGTATTACTAATTTTTTTTTTTTTTTTACGCAGCCTGCCATCCGCTCGCATGATTCACAGATGCCGAACGCCCTTACAGTAGCAGGATGTAGCGCACCTTTCATGCGACTCGCCGAATACTTCACGGTGCTTCGCGCTTGGTGATGTGAGAGCCTGGTCCGGTGAGAACCCGGCGTTCTCCGTCTTGGCTTTGTAGGGATGCGAAGTCAACGGTTATACGAAGCGTGTGGGTGCGTTTTAGGCGTACCACGTTGTTGTTGTGGAGGTCCCCTCCCTTCACAAGTGTTTTTTTTTTTTTTCTTGGTTTGCACCGGCGGCAACTGCTGTCCTGTCGTCCATGGGCCAACAGTCAACAGACACGCTGGCCTCACTCCGAGCGTGGACGAAAAATGCTTGCTTGTGATGAGAATACTTGTGATGATTGAGTGATGAGAAGGGTGTAGGGAAGGGAAGCCGTGGTTCGTACGCCATGTCCGTGTCGTGTGTGGTCCCATGACCTCGACGAACCCCCTTGCAACCAAGTACAACAAAATAAAAACTGGTTTGCGTTCAAAATTGCGAAGGTACTCAATCAAGCAAAGGTGCGACGACCACTGGTTCTGGTGGGTGCGGAGAGATTTCAACAGCCAACCCCTCACTGCTCACAACTACACAGCATCGGAACGTTTGTTCGCCAACGGAACCGCTCTGGAGCGGCCGGCTATCTATGGACATTCCATGGTTGGGCCTTTTATTTCTTGTACATGATGACAATGAATGGTGGACGAAGACCCCATCGCTGTTCGATCGCGAGCGAAGTCGCCCCCTCCCCCGCCACCCCGGTGTTTTCCATCAGGATTGGGTTTTGGTCGCTTGGCAACGGCGTTGTAAAACAACCCCCCCCCCCCCCCCGGGTTTTGCCCACGGGGTTGGGTTTTCGTCGCACGTTTCAAAACACACCGATCACGTCGTGAGCTCGGCAAACAGGTCACCGATTTTTTTTTTCTGCCTCTGTTTTTTTTTTCTGCGGTAACCATAGTGATGGTGGTCGAGTAGAATATGTTGTGCGGCGCTGCCGCGTGCTCGCCCAGTTCGCGGCCGCTAGGCCGTGCTTTGGCCGTGCGTGAGGGTTAGGGTAGATGTGGGGTGAGCGACCTAGCCTTGCTCGCGTGAGGAACCTAGCCTTACTATGTTTAGTGCTAAAGAGTAACTATCAAAGTGTAACCAAGGCTCTGTGCGGGGTCGAGAACCCTCACTCCGCGCAGAGGGGATGATCGCACCACGTTGTGTTCAATTGGCCAAGCTTCCTCGAGGCAGTTACGCAGTGCTTACAACTGTCTCTGGAAGTGAAAGCACCAGAAAATAAATTAAGTCATACGTAGCTGTCATCCGTACGCAAGGAAGTAAGCACAAGATGCCGAACACCCTTAGCAGGATGCAGCTCACCCTTCATGCGACTCGCCAAATACCTCACGGCGCTTCGCGCTTGGTGATGTGAGAGCCTGGTCCGGTGAGAACCCGGCGTGCTCCGTCCCGGCTTTGTAGGGATTCGAGGTCAATGGTCTGACGACTACGGCATGTACGACTATGAGTACCCCCCCCCCCCCCCCCCCCCACCGCACGGGGATAAGTCCTAGAAGCCGA